ATCTCAGTTACTACAAACTTATATTACTGTTCTATCCTGTTATTATGTCCAAATATGAATTAGAGGCCACCCTAAGCCTTAGCAAACCTAGCTACGAGGAGCTGACATTCTTTTCTCTTTGAGAAGGAAAAATGAGTCAAAGCCTTCCCACTTTTGCAGTAAATTATTTTCCCCTAAACATGGAAAAGACAGATGAAAGCACCTTTTCCACCTTGTATCTCCTATTCTTCTGAAGTATCAAAGAAATATGCTTTCCTTTTTTCCTTTAGATACTGCTGCCACTTCATATTTGAGAAGTGAGGTTTCTCTTTCTTCGTTGACCAAAAATTGTTCTCCAATGAGCAAGCAAAGAAACAATTCAACCAGGATAAAGAGTGTGCTTTATTTTTTTTTTAAGTTTTTTATTTGTTACTTTTCTACTGATAATGTTCTAAATCAGGAATAAAAAAAAAATCTAAAAAAATCTAATGAACAGAAAGGATTTTATGAATAGGAACACTAAAAGAAAATTTGTTTATTAGGAAGTCACCTAAACTAGTATGCTCCATTACACTTTTACACCTTAAGAGGAATCTCTAGGGTATGGAGTATTTTTTGAGTAATGAATAACTGATCCAAAAAGAACCTGGAATTCTTGGCTACTCATTCTAGCTCTGATGAGTGTACACCTTGCCTTTCTTAAAAATTTCTTCGTTATAAATAAAGCACAAGTGCAAATATGTATAAATCGTTTTCCAGTTATATTGTGTTAAATTATTAATTTCTCATCTATTTGCATGACCTATATAATGTCCTCACTGAAATACAAGATGGCAAAGGAAACCTTTCATTTAGGTGATTCATCTAACGACCTACTATTTACACAGTGATCTCAGCTGCAAGGAACAAACCACTGCTTTTAGTTTAACACTCAAAGTTTAAACCCACAATCGGATTTAGTGGTGGGTGAAAAGTTCTTTATTGAGCTACAGGAACTTATCTTTTACATATTTATCTGTCTCTTTTCCCATGATAACCACAGACTCATTTTGTCCATTAATACTGCCAAAGGGCATGTGTCACTCATGAACACTCACAAATGAAGAAAAAAATTACAACTGTATAAAAAGTAATACTACATTCTGATGGCACTCAGGAGAGCAGCATCAATGTGAGGTCTCCCGAGAATTTACACAATATCACTGAGTACCCATCTGCTATCTATCTGAAACACCTGAACAACTGAGCAAGTTTTATTTGACATGATCATCCCTTCTGATTAATCTCTGTTAAATAAAACATGAGACAACAGTGTTTGGTGCAATACGATTTGAGTATCCGATTATGACATATTGTGTAGAATCTGTCAAACTGTTACTTCTGCTTTTTCTCAAGTTCTCTTTTTAACTCTGGTTTTTATAGTTAAAGTTAGTGTATTTAAAATTTAAAGCTATTTTATGACTATTTAGATTTTCTACAGTGTGTATGAGCTCTTTATGATCCACTTAAGAGCTACAGTGAGCTTTGCTTGGATATTCCCATCCATTTACCCATGTATTGGCACAAACACTAAAATGCCAAAATGTATTTACTGAGAGGAACTTGTTATCTTTTACTGATCCACACGAAATGATAGAAACTTAGAATGCCAGAAGACACCACGAGAACAATTTCATTTCCATGTTTATGAGCTAAACCTAGAAGCATGGCTCTCTTGCTTCTCACATACTACACAGCTAATATATCCCAAGCATAATCTCAGCTCTTCAATTTACCAGCAGCTGTGGTCATTGCAAAGCAAAATAAATAATTTCAGAAGTGCCATACACAAAGTCAATGGGCTATTTAAAAAATGCTGCAAGTGTGGAGGTAAGGACCTGGATACATATACAGAACTGAGCAATGAAAATACCTCCTCTGAATTAAGGTTACATCATAAAAGCTTAGATCTGTAGAGATATATTGATAACAAAGCTTATCAAGAATATAGGGCATTGCATTAAATATCACCAACACTTACACAGCAGATATCTATATTGGATTGGTGTTAAGGGATTTTGAGGTTATACATAACAGACATATCCCTTCTACGTATTCATTGTCAAAAAACATTATTCCTGCTCCAGACAAATACATCCAAAATGTTTTGCACAGCTCACTTTACTGAGTTTCAACAGGGAACAGAGTACCTTTACAGCAGAAATGATCTAAATGTCATTTAACTTTCACCAAAGCTATATGCCTTTAGTTTTCATAGAAAAAAATGGGAGATTGTTTACTGCACATCGTGCATCACCTGAAAAACATTGCAATTACATCCAGAGAGCTTGTTTTATGAATGTAATTATTTTCTTTATTCTGCAAGGAAAGGAAATAGTTTACAATATCCATAGTAAAAGGATAAGATAGGAAAGGGTTCTTCTTGCCCTTCTTGAAGATAGGAGTGACATTTGCTTTCCTCCAGTACTTGAGCACTTCCCATAGTTGCTGTGATGTATTAAAGATTGTTGAGGGAGGCCTCACAGCTGCCAGCTCCCTTAGCACTGGATGGGTGCATCCCATTAGGGTCCATGGCATTCAATATTTCCATTTTGCTTAGGTATTCCCCCTCCACCAATGCCAAATCCCTTCTAACCTCAACCATGTCATGATTCTGTGTTCTCTCCAAAAAGCCAGAGAGGCTCTTTAAGTCATAAGAGCACTACATTCAGAGAAGGAAACAGATCATGACTGTGTAGTAAAGGCCATGGTAAAAGGAGATAAGGAAGCAGAGACAGTGATCAGCATTACCAAAGATACAGTGGGCAATGTAAATACTGGAGAGGTTCTGCTTTTTATGAGATTGTTGAAGATGACTGTTAGTCCTCCTGCAGGAGGAGGGTTCAGTCTACTGTTCACAGTTTATAGCAATTTACTAGTGCAGAACTCAGGATACAATCCTTTACTGGATAGAGAGCTCTGTAGAGCCAGAGGGGACACTGCAGCAGATGCTACTGCTCTGACAAAAGAAGCAGGTCAAGAAACTGATCAAGCAACAGTTCAAGGACCACTTTTGGAGAAAAGAACAGGATGAAAAGTGAAAAATGTGAGGGATAAAGGAAATAAAAAACTTGCCACATGAAAAGCAGAGTTGAGGAGTTCACAAGTATAGTGAGAAAAAATGACTGAGAAAATGATCGTAACTCAGTGACTGCTGCACAGGTGACTACAGCCTTTCGTGTAGCTGATAAGCAGTGAGACAGAGAGTGAGAAAAAGAAAAAAAGGATCAGGGGTCCAAGTGTAGAGATGGTCTGTGAAGGAAAAATTATGGACACAATGAGACCTCCTAATAAGAAAAAGCAAAAGAACAAACACTGGAAACCATTGCAGTCTACAGCTTCCTCACAAGGGGAAGCAGAGGGCAGGCACTGATCTCTCTGGTGACCAGTGACATGATCTGATAGAACAGCATGAAGCTATGTCAGGGGAGGTTTAGGTTGGATACTAGGAAAAGGTTCTTCACCCAGAGGGTGGTTAGGCGCTGGAACAGGCTCCACAGGGAAGTGGCACTGCACCAAGCCTGTGAGAGTTCAAGAAATTTTTGGACAATAGCTGGCAAGCAGGTTTCGAGGCACTGCTGGAGAATATTTTGTTATTGCATGGCAGTTCACAGGAAGAATAGCTCTGGGTAATCAAGAACACACAGCTTCCCAGAGCTGGAATGGATGAATTTTGGTGCAGTAACTGTAAAATGGCATCATGCTCAGCACATAAAGTAGGATGAGGAAGGAGGACATGCAGTTACAGTGTTTGTCTTCTCAAGTAACCATGAGGCATGATGGAGTCCTGCTTTCCTGGGAACAGCTGAACACCTGCCTGGCCATGGGAAGCGGTGAACGAATTCCTTGTTTTGTTTTCCTCATGTGCACAGCTTTTGCTTTACCTATTAAACTGTCTTTGCCTGAACCCAGGAGTTTTGCAACTTTTACTCTTCCAGTTCTCTCCCCCTTGCCTCTGGCAGAGGAATGGGACAACAGCTACGTGGCATTTGGTTGCTGCCTGTGGTTAAACCACAACACCACCCCATCCATTGCCACTGGCACTTGCCCACAGTGCCAGGTCCCTCTTTGCTTCCCAAGTCTGCCATGCTTCTGGAAGCTGATGCACCTGGACAGCTGTTGCACTGGTGCTCCTCAAAACCACCTCTATGGGAGCCTCATCCCATAGATGCAGGAAGGAGCTGTAGTTGTTTTCCCTTTAGAGCAGGGTCCCAGGGCTGCAGAAGACAACCTTCTCACTGCTCCAGGAAGACCACGATCCATCACCACGTGGAATGTGCGGTCTCATCAATTGTTCTCTTCAGTGAGAAAGAGAGGAAAGGGAGTGGGAAGAGAAAGTGGAAAAGAGAGAGAGGAAAGGAAGAAGGGAAGGAGGGAGAGAGGGAGGGAGGAATCATTCCATAAGCCAGATACTTCCTGACTTTAAGAGTCAGCCAAGGGCTCAGCTAAGAAGTGTCTTCTGTGAAGCACATTTCTTCATGCAGGTGTAGCTCTTCAGGGACCATCAAGGCCAATTTTCTTTTGCCAGAGCTAATCTGCTCTGAGTGCTGTGACCAGCCACAGTGCTCTGGTTATCCCTACAAAGTGGTGTTTGGATTCAGAGAAGCTGGGCTCTGAAGCCCCAGTGCCCTGTACCCTGGAAGGGCCATTGTCCTTTCAGTGACTTGACCTGTCACGACTGGCTGGGGTAGGAGCTGTCCCTCCTGTTCCCTTGGCCACAGAGAAAGGCATTGCAGGGAGCAGCATGTTCATTCCGTCTGCACACAGACACCATCAGCCTTTATTTGTCACGTTCTCCTATGTAAATGCACTGATCCTTTTTCATTCAGAACCTCTTCATTTATTGTGGTTGCAGCAGGATTTCCTGCAGGAGAAGGTACTGCTGACAGGACCCTGGGGCTCTGCAGAGCCTTGGACTGTGGAGGGTCATGAGGTCAGGGACAGGCCCCAGGATAAGGGGGAGAAGGCAGCACCAGCAACTCTTTCATGGAAATAGCAATTTATTTCCTTTCTCTTGAATAAATACTTGCTGGAGCCCTGCTAGTGCTGCTGCCAGAGTGGCTCCTTACACGGCTGTGGGAGTCCTGGCAGGCAGGGGCCCTTCTCTTCCGGGGGTGTTGGGACCCCCCATGTGAGCAGACCCTGCCGTGGCTGGATGTGGAGGCTCTGGAGTTGCTGCCCTGGGCAGAAGAACCTGCTGCCTCTACCTCCCCCAGCTCCTCCTGCAGCTGCACTTGCTCTGCAGACAAAGACACAGAGAGGGGACAGCCAGCATCCCCGCAGAAGGTGGCTTGTGAGTTGGTGGGTTGGTTCTCTGTATCAGAGCCAGCAAGGCTGCCCGCAGGGGCCATAGAGGTGGCAGGACTTTCCCCCCAGAGGCTACTGGAGCTGGCTGCAGGGCCATTGGTCTCCCTACCAGCGTGGAATCTCAGTAGTCTCTGGGCCTCTGTGCTGCACCTGTACATGATGACATTGATAAGGCCATAGACCAGCGGTGCTGTATATCCCTCAAGGACAGGCTGCAGCATCTGGAACAAGACCTTCTCATCCAGACCACAGAGGCACAGGACCTGCAGGATGCAGCCTTCTGCATTCTTTGCCAGCCACCATTGGGACCCATATATTGCTTCCAGTCTTTGACATAGCCAGGGCAGCACAGGGTCCAAAAGATGCTTTTGTCCTTGGAAAAGTTCTGCCCAGACCTCAGGCAGGAGGCCACCCACAGCCTCTGGCCATCCAGCTCTCTGCCGAGCTGGGGACAGTGTCCCATGTGGAAAAGGTGGTGGGAATGGCACAGGGCCATGGGGACTGTTTTCGGCCACGTGGCTGGGAGCTGTTCCTGCCTGGCTGCAGACCTCTGGCAGCTCTCTGGAGGGTGTGACAAGACACTGTAGATAGTCATCTTCTTCACGTACAGAAAACCTGACAATCAATATTGTTCTGCTGCAAACTGGGCACACTGGTTTCCTGTCTGTCCAATGCATGATGCAGCCCAGGCAAAACTGGTGGCCACAGGGCATCGCATAAGCGGCATCCTCGTGACCATCATGGCAGATGGGGCAGCTCCACTCTGTCTCTGTACTCCGTGGAGAGTGCTGGGGCCTGAAGGCCCTCCCTTCTGGGAGGTGCTGGGGCCTGCTGGATGAGTGTTCCCAGCCCTGACAAGGAGTAGCAGGATTGCAGCTGCTCTTGTGGGAAGAGGAACTTGCCACCACTGCCTCCCCCTGCTCCTCCTGGGGCTGCACCTGCTCCACAGGGATGGGCACAGATGGGTGGATGATTCGGAGGGCACAGAGGGCAGCTTCTGTTGTGCTGGGTTGGTCCTTCATGTCGGAGCCTGCAGGGCTGCTGGCAGGGCTTGGGGGCCAAGTGGAAGTGCCTCCTTGGGAGCTGGTGGAGCAGGA